TAGAACCAGAGAGACGATGTGGATGTGGACTTGATCTTTGTATACGTGTGAACTCTTCTTATCGAAAACCGTAATTTCAGAGCGAGTATAATATGCATGTACAAGAAGGTGTACGTACGTATCTAGCTACGAATTTCAGTTCAGCCAAACCACTGAAATTTCTTCTCAAAGAAGAGGCTGCCCGAACTTCAACTGGAGGACCTTTCTCAGTAATTCGAAGAGCTGGAAAGCAGCTACGCGGAGCGGAGCTTATCTTCGAGTTCATCGACCGTTTTTAATCTCTTCTGAGTACAGTGCAGAGCACTGTCTTCTAGAAAATTATTCTGTCATTCTGTCCCCTATGAAATTAACTTATCTCCCATGAGGAAATTTGACACCACTGTTCTCCTCCACTGGAAAGATATTTTCCTAATCATACATACATGACTCTTTCAGATCAACCGAAGCTGAAATTACTGCCGGCATCGATTCTTGCCCCGGTGACGAAACCCATCTAACCTAATTGAATTCGCTTGCACCCCATGTGCGAGTACAGTGTGAAGAGCAATTAAGAGGACAGGGGCAAAGTGGCCCCGCGAGACACTCTGAAAATGTTCATTCTCCTGGGGAGAAGAAATCGGTCTGTTGAAAGCACAGAGAGAGCCGACGGAACCGGCTCTGCTTCGTTATTGTAAAAGCTCGAGCAAAGGAAATCTAACTTCGATCACGTTAGCCAACGAACTCGCCATTTCCAGGCTCGCTGTTCGACAAAAGTTACCGGGAAATTATGTCGTCGCAACGGAACGTTTAGTTTCGTAAAGGCGTTAGTTGCGATCGATCGACCTTTCCTCGACACAGGACCGTGTTTTCGGTCTCACCTCTGCGCCTACGAGAAGGCAAAGGGCAAGGAAGATTGATAAGTCGATAGATGGATGGAGGATTAGGCTGGAGAATTAGAGTAGGAGCGATGGTAATAAGTGGATATACTTCAGAGTAAAGCTCTGCTGTGAAATTATCCTATTTCGATAATGACGATATCATCTTCTTTGTTCAAGGGGATCGAAGGTGTGAACGAATATACGAATTATACAAACAAAGGAAGAGAATGTGTGCCAAACGTAAGAGATAAACTGTGAAGAAAAAAGGAATAATGTCGTCGCAGCAAATACAATAATCGCCTAAAGAAACTAAATCTTTGAAGAGAGCTAAATCACTGATGGTTTACCAGGACCCTGATAAATTCATATCTAAAACACAATGAGGATCGTGTTTCTATTGTCAGTCAGTTTTTCATTCGATCATCGACGAGTGTTTTATGCAAAAAAAAAAAAGAAAAAAATGAATAGTGGAAGAGGATATA